GCCTCCCCGGTGGCTCAGGCGGTTGAGCGCAGCGCTGTGAAGCTGTCCGCAGCCTCTGCAGTGCCGGTTTGATCCCCGCCAGCCTTGGAGCAACCCACCTGGAGAGCAGACCTCTCCTGGCTCGCCCCCTGCTCCCCTCAGCAGTGTATTTCGTCAGTCTGCCTGTTCTGTTCCACGCTCTGTCTCTGGTGAATCCTCTCACCCTCCCGCACATCTGGCCTGTACCCCAGTTCTTGTACAAATAAAATAAAAATCTTAAAAAAAAAAAAGTCAAGTCATAAATTGCTCAGAGGGGAACTGGCAAATGCTAAGATGGTAAATGTGCTAATTGTGCCAGGCGGTGTGATGGGCCCTTTTACTGCATCAGTTGTTTCATTGCTTTCCCCTTCACCATCAGTTTCAACATTACTTTGGACAGTTTCCACTTCAACAGAACAGGGAGGACACTGTAGGGTAAATGATTGTCAGGCTTTTCTGCTCTCCCGCCATTAGGATTGATGATGGATCCCTGCGGTCCTGAATGCACGTCTGATGGCGGGCACCTGAGAAGGGTGTGGGCATGCGCAGGTGGGTGCACCTGGGCTGAGACGGGGCTTGTAAGGGCGGTGTCGCAGAATGGAAAACGACCAGAAGTGAGAGAACAAGACCATGAGAGAATTCTGGAGCACCCAGAAAGAGTGAAGATTCTTTTTCTTTTTTTTTTTTTAAAGATTTATTTATTTATGCATACAAGAGCTGGGGTAAGGCCTGCGATGAGGGAAGGGGTGGGGGTGAGAGGATCCACCAGAGATCCACCAGAGTGGCAGATTGACTGAAATACACTGCTGTGGGGAGCAAAAAAAAAAAAAAAAGTGAAGATTCACCGGGAGCTATGAGGCCTGCCAGCCTCCTGGCCCCCAGGAACATGGCAGGCAGGGGTGTGCCCAATAAGAGCCTGAAAATCCCAATGAAAGCCTGAAAAAGCCACTGAGGGCTCAAGGACTCCTTCACACTTCTGCATGGGTTCATAGAGATCCTACTCTGAGCCATCATGCCCTTCGGTCATCACACTCACGTTTGGACCCCGGGGAGCAGCTGGAAGAGGAGCAGCAGGGAAGGGAGGAGGCAGAGCTGGGACAAGGCTGATGCTATTGTCCCCAAGGAGCACAGAGCTGGGACAAGAGCAGGCGCCATCTCCTCAGGGCTGGGGAGAGCCCTGAGGGCAAGAGGCAGCCAGGCCCACACAGAGGAGCAGGGCAGCCAGGAGCTCTGGGCTCAGGGGGGAGAAGGGCCCAGGGACCCCCACCAGCAGGAGCAGGGCCCTTCCTGGTGACTCCTTAGGCCCTGAGACCAAGGACAGACCTGGCTCCTCTCAGGGCTGCTGAGCCTCTGTGCTGCTAGAGACCAAGAGGTTTATTGGAAAAAAACATCCTCCCTTCCCTTCCACCCCGTGGAACCCACACCCCAGACCCACTCTGCTCAAAACACTGGACCCCTCCATTCCCAGCACCTGGTCCCGGCTGCAAACTGCTCTTCCCTCCTCCTCATCACCCAGTGACTTCCCAGGTCAGAGGCCCAGACCCAGGCCCCCCATGAAGGACAGGCCAGCACCTGCTTGTGGTCCTATGCCCCTCAGTGTGAGCAGGTGTCATGGAGAAGCATCAGGACACACAATATTGTCCCCAAGGAGTTGGGGTCCCCCCCACAGGCCCCTATTCTATTTTGCTCTGTCTGCTCCTTTAGTTTACCTGAAGGTCAGTCCCTCCCCAGCCCTGACCTGCCAGGGCTGAAGACAAGGTCCTGCCTCAAACAGCAGGAACCTGGTCAGATCCCCACTGAGGGCTTATTCCTCCTCCTGGGGGATTCCTGTCTCTGGGTGAGGATCCAGTGGAGGCAGAGCAATAGAGAAGGGAAATGAGTCCTGATCAGAGAAAACACCCTCAATCAGCAGGCAGAATGAGGGGCACCCTGGTACACCCAAATCTGTATGCTCCAAATGGCTTCTGCCATCTGCCTCATAAAGGCAGAGCACACTCTGAGTGTGAAAGAACACACCAGAGGAGCGCCAGAGGGGAAGGGAAGATGGTGTTACAGGGCAGGGAGACGGTCACCCTGACCCCGCTAACCTGCCTGCTCTATATAGGTTCTGCCATGCGCCCATCAACACAAAACATATGAGACTTTAATGAAATGTAAATTTAATACAATTAGGGAACAGTACAAAAAAGACAAAGAATATAGATTCTAAATCAAGCACCCAAAGTTATCCATCCCCTCGTGGGTAAAAGTCTACCCAAACGGGATTGGCCCCGAGCAAGGCCCCAAAGCCTGCCACAAGTCTAAAGCATCCTCCAGTGGGGACCCACAGAAAAGGATCAGAAACAACCAGACAAGTATGGGAGGAAAAGAGCAAAATCAAAATCAAAGATAAAAGCTGCCATTGTCACCTCCCCACGGGTCTCATCCACATCTGTGTCACCCAGTCCACGACCAATAGGCAAGTGCAGTTTCTTCATGTTTCTCTCCGCTCCATGTGCCTCCTCCAGGTCTCCTCTGGCTCCATCCTCCTTCCTCAGTCTCCTCTGCAGCTTTTTCTCTCCCCGCTCAGCTCCACCCTCCTTTTGGGTGGGGCAGGAAACCTGGAACCTCCCCCTTTCCTGGAGACCATCCTGTTTCCCAACAAAACACTGAAAGTTACCCACCCTGTGGGGTAAATGATTGTCAGGCTTTTCTGCCCTCCCGCCATTAGCATCGCATGCCTGATGGAACACCTGCATTTTGTTACACTGTTATATTCAGTTGTATTGTTTACTTCTGTGGGCCAGGGCTGCAGTATTTATATTGGCAAGAGAAGCAAAGAACACAGGAGAGCGACAACTGCCAGAGAGCCCAGTAAAGAGTGCCAGCTCCTGGCACCCCAGCACCCCTGTCTGCTGTGTACCTGGTTGCTGCACTACGTGTAAATAAAAGCCTGAGAAAGCCACCGAGGGCTCCAGGGCTTTTCTTTACACGTTTGCTCAGATCATAGAGAATCAGCTCTGTGCCTTTCTGGCACTACCAAGCCCCCTCTCCCAAGGGTAGATGACCAGCCAGACTTCCTGGGGGGTGGGCTGCAGCTGCAGGATGTAAACCACCCCCACCCCAGCTCTCAGCACAGTCCAGCCCCTAAATCCACCCACCTCATGGGGAGGGGAGCAGGAAGTGACTTGGACTCAAAACTGCCCCAGGAGGACACATGTCTCCCCATTAGTGCTTCCTTTTGTTCCAAGTGGAGAGGGAAAAGAGGGGGGTACAGAGCACAGGGCAGGTGTCCCTGGACAACACTAGGGGATCCTGGACACCCTGCAGGAAGGACACTCACCCCCTCACTGCCTCTCCCAGCCCTTCAGGGCCTGTTCCTGCTGCTCTGTCAGCCCACACTGTTCCTTGTTCTGTCTTGTCAGATATTAATGGTCCTGATCCAGATGGGTTCATCATTTACTTTCCTCTTTAATGGACATATGCCTCTAATCTTTCGATTGTTTCAAGTGCTTTTAAGATAGTTCCAGGTAAAACTTGCCCCACAGACCTGCCTGCCCCCGCACCCCTACACTGATGCTTGCTCTTCTGCTTTTCCACTCCAGGAAGGGCCCAGCCTCACCTACACGACCTGTGGTCCCCAGCCAGCTGAGGCTCCCCTCTTAGACTTATAAGCCTGTGGCCACTAGCATCTGGCCTCCTGTCCTCCCTGCCTCCCCAGGGTCCATATGGGGAACTACTGTGCTTTCTGCCTACCCCAGGGGGCCCCCGGTGCTCCCTCCAGCCATCCTCTCAGCTCTGCCCTCCCGGGGCAAACAGTGGTATTCCGCCTGTCTTTCTCCATCAGAAATGGTGGAGTCACGTGGGGCCCGAGGCCGCCTACTCCTGACACTAAGGGTGACCCTGGGCTGGCGGGTTGAAAGACAGGGGAGCAGAGAGGAGGGAGCCGGAGGGGGCCGATCACATGTCTGGCACACGGGTGCACTGTCTCGTGTGTGTGAGAGGCCGGCGAGTGAGCAGGGAGAGGCTCCAGCTCCTGCTCCTGCATCCCCCCTCCCTGTCCCCCCTCTCCTCTCATCCAGAACCCCTGCCCACACCCTCCCCTGCTTCGTCTTCCCTCCCCACCTCCCCCCCAGCGCTGCAGCCCAGGCTGCACCTGCCTTCCCAGCTCTCCCCCTTCTCTGCCCTCCCCCGATTTCTCTCTGCTTCTCTCCAGCTGCCAGCTGATCGGGTCAGGCAAGTCCATCCCATCCTGAGAGCCCCAGGGCCCCCTTCGACCTCTAACCAGACCCCTCCTCTTCCTGGGACACCTCTCTTCCCGGGCCTGCCTGGGTGACTGTTCTGTGACTTGGCCCCCGGCCCCCATGCCTCCCCCTTCATCTGTGACTTTAGTCTGTAGTGGTGGTGAGCTGACACCCCAGGCGTGACCTCGGTGACTCTTGTGCCCCCTCGGTGGTATTGCTCCTGCCCTGCTCTATGCATGTCTATAAATACACGGGCACACACACACGTGCACACACGCATCTCTGGTGCTGGGAACCGCCGGCTGTGCTGTCCTTCTGAGTCTTGTGGCCCAACTACAAGCAAACACTGTCACCCCAGCCACCCCCGCCAACACGTGCCACCTCCGACGAGCCTCCCTGCCATTCCCAGCCTGTGCACAGTCAGCCCCCCCAGCCACCTTCCTGCCCCTTCCCCGAGCATGGGGGTGCTGTCCCGGCAGCTGTGTGCTTCTGGCCGCGACCAGTCCTGCTGTCTCTTGGCTGAGAATGAAACCCATTTCTGAACAATGGGGAGCAACGTGTTGTGTGCTGGCTGTGTTCTGTGGCGTTCAGGGGGAAGGGAAGGTTTAAGCATGAGGGCGCAGGGGTGCCTGGGAGGCCCCAGTTTTTCCCAGGCTGCTCGGGAAAGCACCTGGACTTAGCTGGTCTTCATCTGAACCCTGCTGTGGCCACCAGGGAGTTCCAGCCTGGAGGACTCCTGGGGCCTGGGTGGGGGCCCCAGAAGAACAGGGTGAGAGGAGAAATGCCTAGGCTGGAAGCCAGTACTCTGGCCCTCCCGGGGCGGCACGCAATTATTGGGTCCAACAAAAAATTAAAAACAAAACAGAACAAAACAAAAAAAAAAACAAAAACAAAATTGGGTGCAAAGGCCCATGGGGAAATTTCAAAAGGGAGCAGGGGAGGCCACCCCTTTGTGGATCTGGGTGGTCTCAAATAAACCACTGCTATCTCTGTGGCTACACTCTAGACAGGTGTTGGTGCCCACCTGCCCCAGCTGGTATCTCTGTCTGCACTTAGCCCCCGTGCTGGGCTTTCAAAGTGCTGCCCCGCTCGACATGGTTGGGGTGAGGTGGGGGGCACGTGGCCCAAAATTGCCTAATATAACCTAGGCCCTCTGCAAGAAGGCCTGGTAAGGATTCAATTGGTCATTCAAGGAGCCCCTATATTGTAGAACGGAGCCCCCTAAATAACTAGCTGGATATTTCTAGCTCCTTGCCTCTGGAAGCATGATTAGTCCAGAGTTAAATGAAGACACAGCCCTAACCTCAGAGGCTAGGGTCTGCACGTATTTCACCCTATTAGATAGGGGAGTTGTTGGACCCCTTTTTTAAGCCGAGGGATGAAAGGACGACTGGGAAGGAGAGCCAAAGGATGGGGGGAAAAGCCTGGGGAACAGGGATGGGTTGGTGAGGGCCAGGTGGGGGCAGAGCCTCCGGCCCCATGCCGGTGGCCTAGACCACCATTATCTTCACCTCCTTCTCGTCAGCCTGGTAGAAGAAGGGAAGGCATGGGCTGTTTCCAATGGTGACGCCTTCCTGGGAGTTCTGCATTTCTTGAAGCAGCTGAACGACCTGCTGCGCAGAGGCGTTCTCGAGGGGAGTCAGGCCTAGCTGGGCCTCGCCCTGGGTCGGCTGCACATCGTGGACAAGGCTCACCTTACTTGGTTCTTTAGAGAGTGTAAGGGCTGGAGCAGGGCACAGCGCAGGTTTTCTGATCCCATGCAGACCGGGTAAAGGAGGAGTCAGAGTCCTCAGTGGTTTTGCAGTTTTTTTATTGGGGTTCACCAGGCATATGGCAGGCAGGGGTGAAGCAAATCTTCACTTTATCTGGGCTCTCTGGTGATCTCGGCTTCTCTTCCGGCTTCAGCTTCGGCTTCTACTGCTGCTGCTGGCGTCCCCGTGACGCCGCCCTTAAAAAGCACAGTCTTAGCTCAGCTGAATCCCATCTACCTATGCCCACACCCTACTCCAGGTGCCCGCCATCAGGCATGCATTCAGGACAAGGATCCATCATCTATCCTGATGGCGGAAGAGCAGAAAAGCCTGATATTTTCTTTACCCTACAGAGAGACAGAGACAGGATGCTGTGTGCCTGGCGGAGTGTGCTCTTCCTGACCAGCCGCCTATTAGGGGCTTTCCTCACCTTGGACGTTGGCGGTGCCAAGCTTCTTGGGGACTAGGCATGCGCTAGTGGGCTCAGCAGCAGGGTTCTGGGCAGGTGCTCAGGGCTTCGCCCGCCATTCGTTGCGTGCCTCCACCAGCCGCAAAACCAGCTCTTGCAGCTCTAACAGCTTCACCTGGAAGCAGAGATGCTCAGAAGCCCGCCCCGCCCCCAGCCGCACCACCATGGAGCCAGAGCTCTGACTACCTTCATCTCCTCTTTGTCCTGGGCCAGCTGCCTTATGGACTCCTCCTTCTCTTGGTGCTCCTCCCTCATCACTGCTCTCTGGTACTGGTAGAGAGCATGTATTCTCCTAGGGGGAGGGCGCGCAGACAGCTTAGCTGCTGGGGTCTCCCCAGCCTCTGCATAGCACCCCAGCTGCAGGGCACAAGCCTCCCCGCTCACCGATGGTGACAGTCTCTCCAGACATCTGGATACATCGATGCTCCAGCTCCTCCATCCAGTCCTGTAAGCCCACTTTCTCCTGCATGAGCTCGGTAAAGCGGCCCTCGGCCAGACAGCGGGCTCAGGGGCTCAGCAGTGCCGGCCTGCCCAGCACCCAGCCCGCCCAGCCCTCCGGAAAACCACACTGTAGGGTAAGATAAAACTATCAGGCTTTTCTGCCCTCCCGCCTTTAGGATAGATGAGGGAACCCTGTGGTCTGAATGCAAGCCTGATGCAGGCACCTGGAGTAGGGTGTGGGCATATGTAGATGGGATTCACCTGGGCTAAGACTGGGCTTTTAAGGGTGGCATTCACAGCAAAAGCAGAGAAACGTAAGCAGAACCGAGAGAGCAGAGCAGCAGAGACCACCAGAGAACGCCAGAGAGCCCAGAAAGAGTGAAGACTTGCTGGGGGCTGGGAGGCCTGCCAGCCTCCTGACCCCCTAGCACCCCTACCTGCCATGTATCCAGTAAATCCCAATAAAAGCCTGCAAAAGCCACTGAGGCTTCCAGGACTCTCTTCTCCTGGACCCAGTCTGCTGGATCAGAAAACTTGCCCAGTGTCCATTCCCTCCTCTCTTACAATTGGTGTAAGTCAGCACGATGATCCATGCAGACCGGTATGGAGCCCTCCGAATACCGGGAGGGACTGAGGAGCAGCAGTGTTTGCCTGTGACAGCGCTGGACGTGTCATGGCGGGACAGGGGAAGGGCAAAGTCCGGGAGCTGCGGGATGAGACCTCGCCTGGAGGAGGAGATGCCCGAGAGGACCAGCCAACAATCCCCGACTAGGCAGCAAGAATCATCGGGGGAGAAAGGACCACGACTCAGAGCTCCCCAGTGTGGACAAAGGGAAAAGCCAATGAACTTGGACTAATGGACTAACAATCCCGCCAGAAGGGGGAGGACCTTGGCAAGTTTGATATGTTTTGGGGACCCTGAGGATGGATGGGATTGTACACCCCCAGAGATGGGAGTCTGGGGGTGTCAGTGGGCCTTGGTGGCCAAAGGCAGCCGGTGTACTGCCCAGCAGCTAAGCAGAGGAGAAAAGCCAACTGAGAAGGCAAAAGCTGGTGCTAAGTTTGGGAAGCCCTGAGCGGCTGTTACGCACTACGTAAGCTAAAGGCCAGTGAGTCTTTTAAAATCACCTGTGGGTGATGCCCTGCTCATAGTTGAGGGTGAGGAGCTGAGGAGCCCATCTTTGGGGGTGGGTAGGGAACGTGGCTTGTGGTGGAGCCCACAGCCAAAGAGGGGACCCAAGAGAGGCTGCATGTGGACTTGTATCCACGGATCCCCGACCCATGTGCTTGTGCAGTGGGTTGGCCTGAGTGAAGGGGCCTGCATGCTGGAGCGTTGGAGCGACCACAGATAGAAAACCCTGAGGGATGGGCGATTACACCCAAAGAGTACAGAATCGCCAACCCAAGAGTGAGTGCATCCTGGGGGTGGATGTGGTGTGTGGCTTGTGGCCGAGACTGCAGCCGGAGGGGGCCGGGAGGCCTGATGGCTCCTGGCGTGTGACAGCTGATGCCTGAGTGGTTCCCTCCCTCGCATGAGCAGTGCCTTCGGCAGCGGAAGTGGTGGATCATCTACTGGTGCCAATAATTGTCTTTTGCCACTAGGTTGATGCCCTGCCTGGACTTATTTGTGTTCTGTTATATTTCATTGTGATATATTTCATTTGCTTTTGTGGGCCATGGCTGCAGTGTTCATATTCGTCAAGAGAAACGTGTGTATCACTTGTATAGACTGTCTGTCAGAAAACCCTGAGGGGGTGGATTGTAGGGTAAGGTAAAAGTATCAGGCTTTTCTGCTCTCCCGCCCATAGGATGGATGATGGAACCCTGCGGTCCCGAATGCATGCCTGATGCGGGCACCTGGAGTAGGGTGTGGGCATAGGTAGATGGGATTCACCTGGGCTAAGATGGGCTTTTAAGGGTGGCGTCATGGGGACGCCAGCAGCAGCAGAGAAGCAGAAGCAGAACCGAGAGAGCAGAGCAGCAGAGACCACCAGAGAACGCCAGAGAGCCCAGAAAGATTGAAGACTTGCTGTGGGCTGGGAGGCCTGTCAGCCTCCTGGCCCCCTAGCACCCCTACCTGCCATGTATCTGGTAAATCCCAATAAAGTCTGCAAAATTCACTGAGGCTTCCAGGACTCACTTCTCCTTTACCCGGTCTGCTGGATCAGAAAACCTGCCCTGTGGCCATTCCTTCCTGCCTTACACACACTCACCTGCAGTTTCTTCTTCTCACCAGGCTCCCTGAAGGGCCTGGTGGGTCTCCCCAGGCACACTTTCCCCCCGGGGGCTGGGGCCTCCATCTTCTCAGGCTCCTGGTCCCATGGGGCTACCTGCTGAGCCAGGAGCCAGCAGAGCAGCTTTTGCTCCTTTAGCTGCCTGTGCAGCCGCGCCTGTTCTTCCTCAGCACTGGCCAAGGCCGAGTTACAAAATGCCACCTGTGGGCCAGAGGTGCAGGGTGCCCCTGTGGGCCCGGCAGGAGGTTGGGAGGCACACCTCTCAGGGCCTCCGTGGGCACACCTGAGATTCGAGGATGGTGTTGGTGTCTACCCACTGGCTCCCAGCAGAGGTGGGTGAAAGCTTAATCAAAGGGAGGGGAACCAAGAAGAAGGGTGTGCTGATGGGAGGGGGAAGGTGGGGCAGGGAAGGGGCTCCAGGGCCAAGCTCACCATGGCCTCGCAGCTGTCTAGATCGTCCGGGATGCTTAGTTTTGTCAGGGGACCCTTGTCCTCCACTTCCTCCTCCTCTTCACTGTTCAGTCCATTTACTGTTGGGGGGGGCAGCCAGAGGGGCTCAGAGAACCCCTGGGTTCTGAAGCAGCCCTGAAAGCCAGCAAGCTCTGCCCCCTCCTCTCTGTGCAACCCCGCGCCAGCAAGTCCCCAAAGGAGAAGGATCCAAGTTGTCCTAAGGGTGGCTTCCATCTCTTTGGAGTGCTCCTTTAGGGGTGTCGGAAACTGTTCACCAGACTGAGACTGGCACTGGAGACAACAATCCACCAGAGTGTTGATGCTGTGTTGCTGGGCACTGTCGCTTACAGTTCCCTCCCTCTGTATATACTTAGTTCCAACAGGGAATCAGCTAGTTGGTGATTTTGTTCTGGTCATGAGGTGGCACCAGAGACCTGTCCTTGCTGACCTTTGCTTTTTCCCAGTGGTTCTCGGCTGGCCTTAGGCTATTTATAGATCTCCGTGGAGTCCTTGTCTTCCTCTGATGGCGCCCGGAGCCGCTCGGTCACCTCTGTGGTGATTTCTTCACCGTTCTCCACAGTTCCCATTTGTGGGGTGCGGTGCCTGAAATAGTTCCTCTCTACTCAGTGTCCCACTTGATCTGTAGTTCGTTCTTGCAGTTTTTTTTTTCCCTCCTTTCCGTTGGTCGGAGAGAGCCTACTCAGTGGGTGGGGGAGGGTGGTGAAACTTTTCTCAAACGTGACCCAAGAACCCCAACTGTGAACCCAACACCTCTCCAAAATATCACTCCTCACCAATGTCAACGTTATAAAAACAAGCAAAGTCAGAGAAACAGTCAGCAAGAGGCACATCGAGGAGAACTGGCTGTAACTGAGTGAGGCAATTTGGATTATGGAACATAAAATGTACATTAGGAAAAACTGATGAAATTAAGCACGGAGTTTGGTCACTGTGTCAACATTGCTTCATTAGCTGTGAAAAAAAAAGACAACTGTATTCATGTAAGATGTTAACAAAGTGGAAATGGTGTGGGATGAATAAGAACTGTACTATCTTTGCAACTTTTCTGTAAATTTAACAGTATTCATTAAATGTTATGTTTTTTTTTTAAGTCCTCAATACTAAATAGGTTGTAAAAGGAAAAAATGATCTACTTTCCTGTTTCCCAAGGTTTTGTTATCCAGAGGCTGGAGAGAGGGGTCCTGGGGAGTAAAGCTGGAAACCTCACACCCAGGGCATTCCCCCGAGTCTCCTCTCCTCTGAGCCCTGCTTCTCTGACTCCTCACAGAGCATCTCACCACCAGGACGCCGCCCTCCAGGACCCCCAACTCTGCCCATCTCAGAACCGGCCCTGTCCGGGCAGCTCCACCAGAATCCGAAACACTCCACCAGAATCGGGAAACAGTCAAACAACCCTTTTTATACCGGGGCTGCCCTGTAACAGTTTGGCGCAGTAAAGAAAAGGGGAGCCAAGCTAAACTTCCTCAAAGGAAGGGACAATTCATTGCGCCCCCAGGCAAGCGTCATACCCAAGATGGGTGTCCCTGAAATCGTGCACGTTGTGGGGGGAGATGTCATTTCATAGGGTGAGGAGAGGTTAGGCAGGAAAACTGGGTTGGTAGCGGGGGGGAAACAGGCTTAGGGGGAACTAAGTTGTTTTTTCGTGGAGCCGAGTTGTTTTCTCCTGCTTATGGCTTCAGTTTTGGTTTGATGGAATCAGGGGTACTGGTGTCAGGACCATCTTGTTGTTCGTATGTGGGCTTCCCCATTCCTGGCCCCTGCATCGACCTTTCATACCAGCCTTTTGTTGAAAAGGGGCAATGGTTCTCTCTTTGGCTACTTCCTGCTGGACAGGGGCGAAGACCAGGGTGGGCGCTCAGGCCTGGTTATGAGACAGTCTTTGCAGCGCGAGGATATGGGTGGAGAAGGAGTTGGTTAAAGGTGGTATGGGACAGTTCTTGGATCCGGTGTTGGATGAAATGGACTAAGCATGGGGCAAAAAGAAAAAATGAGGAGATTAGGATAAGAAGCCCTGTGAGTGGTAATACCTGGTCCGAGGCTGTGCTGATCTGGAATTGCTGGGCATAGACAGAAGAACTGGAAGTGGCTTGAAGAGATGGGATTAGAATCAGAGGAAGGAGAGGGGCCTCCCCGGTGGCGCAGCGGTTTACGGTTGAGCGCTGGGTTGTGAAGCTGCCCACAGCCTCTACAGCACCGGTTCAATCCCTGGCCTCAAGGCGAGGGTCCCACATGGCGGGCAGACCTCTCCTGCCGCCCACTGCTCCCCTCAGCAGTGTGCTTCGTCAAGTCTGCCTGTTCTGCTCTTCGCTTTGTCTCTGGTGAGTTCTCTCACCCTCTTGTGTTTCTGACTGTACCCAGTGCTTGCATAAATAAATCTTTAAAGAAAAAAAAAAAAGAAACAGAGGAAGGAGAATCAGAGGGCCTCTACTCTATAGGCTGAGTGGGATGTGGACCAGGGATGCATTGATGCAAACCCGAGTTGGGCCCATGTGCTTGTATACATACTGCTTGTCCACAGGGACCACTTTGACCCTGGACAGCTGATGCCTTGACAGCCGTTGGTGTAGTCAGGATGATCGTGTGTGGACCCATCCACTTTGGCGGAAGTGCTTTTGGAGAGATGGCTTTCAGAAGAACCTGGTCTCCAGGGCACAGCAGGTTGACAGGTGCATCAGGGGACGGAGGCACAGGTTGTGGCAGACAAAGGTCTGCGTGTTCTTGGAGCAGCTGTCTGAGCAAAGAGAAGTATGGAAAATATCCAGCCAACAGTGTAGGTTGGACGTGGAGCTCATGGTTAGTAAGAAGAGGTCTGCCATACATCCGTTCAAGGGGGCTCAGGAACAAGGGGCCATGGGGAGTGGTTCGGAGGTGCACTAAAGCCAGTGGGAGCAGCTCCACCCAGGATTTGTGGGCTCTGTGGAGAGTTTGGCTAGGTGGTCTCTGGTCAGACCATTTACCCGTTCTACCTTACCAGAGGATTGCAGTCGGGAGGGAAGGTGTAGTTCCCAGGTGATGCCCAGGGAGGAGACCTGTGGAGTAATCTTTGAGATAAAGGCAGGTCCACTGTCCGAATGGTGATGGTGTCCACCGTAGTAAGAAGAGGGTGTTACCTGCGTTAGGGAGTGGAACACCCGTGAAGCCTGGCAGGATGGAGAGTGGAGGATTGGGAGAGGGAGATGAGAGGGTCTTTGACAAAGAGAGTAGAAATCTAACAGACAAGAGGGTGATGGAGGGGAGAGAGCCTGATGAGTGAGCAGGTCCTGGAGCCGATGTGGAGAACTAACATTTACAGGTTGGCCCAGTGTGGGTTTTAAGGCCTTAGGTCTAGCGAGACGAGAAGCTGCCGCAAGTGCACGCAGGCAGGGCTGCCATCCTCTTACAGTGGGATCCATTTGTTTAGAGAAATAAGCAACTGCTCGCTGGACTGGCGTAGGTTGGCCCAGAACCCCTAGAGCAACGCCCTGTTGCTCATCTGTCAATAACAGGAATGGCTTTCCCGGGTCTGGGAGTGCGAAGGCTCATCTCAGAGAGCTTTTCCTGGATAAAGCAGAGAAAATGGGGTGTAGAAACAAATAAAAGCATGATCATGATCACCAGGCCTACTATGGGAAGGATCCATGGCAGTAAGGGAGAGTTGGTCCAAGTTTGGATGTCCTGGCCCCAGCTTCAGCTGACAAAAGTTCAGTCAGAGGGGGCTTTGCTGGTCAGATGAGCAAGCCCATGAATGTGTTGGAGGAGGGGGAGACACCTGAGTACACACGATTTCTCACCAAAACCTCCCTGTCAGACCTTCAACACTTTCTTTTGCTTGCTTTCATTCTAATGCCATTTCATTTTACCCATCCGGCTTTACATTATCTTAAGGCCCTTCAGAATATCCCTCTTCCATACATTTCTTTTTTCAAACACTCATACCTCACCTTACTTGCATTTACCAAACTTAGCAAAACCTTAGTTTTAGAAGGGAATTGAACACCATCTAAACAATGATGAAAAAACACAAATTTAAGGTAGACAGCCCCTGTAGTTTTTCGTTCCTGTACCCAGTGATTTAATTGGCAGAGACTGGTGTCCAAAGCCTGCATCTGTTGGGCGATATTAATGTTTCCAATTTGGCTAAGGTCACCCTGCAGGGTTTGAATCCAGGGAGGAGAAAGGGTGGGTAGCCGTCTG